CCGTCGCCGGCCACTCGCAGCAGCCCAGCCCCAGGTTGAGCTGTTGTTCACCATCTTAGCTGTAGAGGGCGAGCGTCACTGGCCCTCAATGTGGGATCCGAACCACAGCCCTGCTGCTCAGAGCTGGTGCTCCCAAGCGAGCTCTTAACCAGCTGAGCCACTCGGCCAGCCCTGCCTTTTCTAATTAGAGATAATTCAGTTCTTCAGCTGTAATTGTGTTGGGCAGACACCTCCCACATCAACAATCTTGCCATTAAACATTTTCAACAACCTAGAGGCATGTAGCAGTCCAGTCGATGACTTTCTTCTAAGCCAAACTCATCTTGTTCTTTAGCCCTCCCCTTAAACCTAGTCTTGTTTCCTAATTTCTGTTCGAGGCATCAGTTCTAGCCCACTTTCTGCTTCAGAACCCTTTATCCCCCATTCCTTTGCATTTCATAACCACCATGAACCACTACTGATTTAGTTGTTTGAGATTGTTCCCCTCCATTCCTACCTTTACAGTCCTATCTAGGGCCTCATGCCAGCTACTCTGTCCATCAAAAAGACAAAACAAAAACTATTATTGAAGTCGTCTCCCCAACTTCAGTTCATTTTGTATCCTCATCCCAGGTCAATATCCCTAAAATGTCTTAACCATGTGGTTATCCTACTGTTTGCCACAAATATTTCTGTTTCTTTTGAGGTTTTCTGCGACTTCTAGGCTTTTTTTTTTTTTTAACGAATTTATTGGGGAATTAGGGAAAGGGAACAGCCAAGTTGTTGTCCTTCAGTCTTAGTTGTGGAGGGCGCAGCTAGCTCAGCTCCAAGTCCAGTCACCATCCGGCTTCCCAGCGGCAGCTCTCGGCCATTCAGCTCAAGGTGCCATATTCAATCTTAGTTACAGGTGGGCATAGCCCACCATCGTATGTGGGAGTCAAACCAGCAACCTTGTTGTTAGGAGCACGTGCTCTCACCAGCCAAGCCATCCTGTCACCTGTTGGCAGCTCAGCGGCAGCTCAGCTCAGCGCAGCTCACTGGCCCATGTGGGAATCGAACCGGCGACCCTGTTGCTCAGAGCTCGCGCTTTTAACCAACTGAGCCACTCAGGCGGCCCAAGGTTTTCTACAACTTCTAGTCTTAACAGCTTTCTATCTTCCATGATCACCAGAACTTTCTCTATTCATTAATTCATTCACAACATGTGTATATGGTCTGCTCTCCCCCTTGTTGGAATGCTGTTCTCCTTCCTTGGTGCCATCTGCAGGACACAAGTTTTTAGAGTCTAGGTCTCACCATCTACAAGGAGTTTTTCTAATCCTTCCAGGTTGTATCTTTGCTCTGAGTTTTTGCCATATCTTTTTGACACACACCATTCTGTCTTACTAATCTACTAATGTTTCCAGCATGTACTTTCATCTTTTGACTAGAATATGTGTTAAATTCTTTGTGGTGGGGGAAGTTGCCACTAGACAGGGCTTTAAAATTTGCAAGTCTGCTCGTCACTAGATAAAAATTTAACACTCCCAAGACTGAATACATAGCTTGCAAAATGAACAGAAAAAATGCTCAGCAATGGTTAAGGCACTTAAAAGGCTTGAAATACTATTTTTCATCTATTAAATTGGTAAAGAACCACCATATAGATTTGTGGGGGTATAAATGGGCAGCTGCCTGCTGAGAATACCGATTGCTAGCACCTTCTGGAGGTCCAAGTAGGGAAAAGTTTTAA